CAGGCAGATCGCACTCTCGATCATCGCATGCCCGCCCCCCTGAGGGGCGCCTTCCGATGACCGCAATGCTGAACGGGCAGTGCAACCCAACAACAAGGAAGAGAGCACCCCCTGAAATGATGGCAGATCGCAAAGAAGCTAATGCCTCCATCGCTATCTGCTGTTTTTTTTAGAATTCTCACAGCTGCTGTAATCAGAATAAAATTAAAAAAACATGGCATAGAAATGAATAGCTAGATCGCTATTGACTATTTCAATTTGCAATAGCCAATAGCAAGCTGGCTATTGCACCCGCCCTCTTCTGCTGTCAGTCAGCAGAGGAGGACCTGATGGAGAATGTCAGGTCCCCCTCTGCTGATTGACAGCAGCAGTGGGCTGGTGCAATAGCTAGTCTGCTATTGGCGATTGCAAATTGAAATAGTCAATAGCAATCTAGCTATTCATTCCTATGCTGTTTTTTTGTGTTTTTTTTCTGACTGACGGAGGCCCCGATGTCAAGAAAAAAAAAACAGCAGGGAAAGGTTTATTCTACTAGATCGAGCAGAAACCTTTCTGGGAGAAAATGTTTCTCTCCCGCGTGTCCGGGAGCCGCTGTCTTATAGCGGGAGACTCCCGGAACATCCGGGAGAGTTGAGATATCTGCTAAGTTTACCATGTTTCATGTTACCCCCATATTCAGGGCAACCCCCTTCTGCCCAAAATGTACCTGAATTACAGTGTGTTTATACCTGCAGGCTGCTGTGCATTTTTGAATTGGCGCAGGTGTGCATGGCTCTGTCCATACAGCCACTTCATCCATTTACAGATCTACAGACTGGATCTGTGAATGGAAAAACTACAAGGCCATCAGACATCATGGCAGGGGGACTTGTAGCTCACAATAGAATACAAGTGTGGTGACATTAGTGCCATCCTACCTTATATGTGGAGCTTGGGGTGAGGGTGGTGTGCTTTGTGGATGCGGTGGGACAGGCACCTGACCACCCCCCCAATAAAATACCCCCCCCAGAGGGGACTGCCTCAGGCTGTGTAATTATAGGGACGGCCCTGGGTGACAGCAGTCCACTCATTCTTCCTCCTGTCCATGTTACTGAATATCTGTACTAAGCTACAGACATGGGCGGGAGGAAGAGTCTGCAGGAGCCAGAGCATTGCACCCACAAGCCACTGACCTACTGATTGCGGTCGCAATGCTTTACTGGTTTTAATGCAAACAAATGATTAATGGACATTTTCTTCTTTTATGAAGAAGTGAGCATTTATTATTTTTATTATATTTACAGTATGTCATTATTATTTATATTTTATTTTAGCACATTTTATTTTATTATCCTTTAAACACGCCTGCAACTGATACAAAATTAATTTCTCCAACTTGTTCTGAACATCGGTTTCCTCTTGTAGATGTGTCCACCTTATCTTCACGATCAT